TTTTTCCCTGTCTCTTAACGACAAAGCTATTCAAAACAGAGGCGAATCGCCTACCCCGTTGAGACGATGACCTGGGGTCGGATTACGACGGTCCGAACCGTATCGTTTTCGAGTCGAAGGCAAACTCGAACCGTATGGAAAAGTTGATTACGAACACACTTCGTATTCGTTTACCAATCGTTTGGGCGATATCACTTATGTCTTTTTACATCTATTTATTTATTTTGTTTTTTTGCTATGCTAAAGTTTACAAATCCCTCTGGTGGCTGTGGTCTCGTCTGATGGCTACCCCGACTCGTCCATAAAAGCGTAGTTCATATAGATGCGAATCACGCATTGCGAATTTCGTTGTGGAAATGTCGGCGTTTTTCAGCCCTTTGCATTTCGCAAGAAAATATGTTATGAATCGAGAGAAAATTAAATTTTTTTTTGGCTGTAAATACACTCCCACGCTGCTCATTTATTTTTTTAAAAGAGGAATAATGGAAGAATTCGAAGAACCATTCGGACGATTGGTACCTATGAAAATAGGAACCTACAGTCCCTACAAAAAAAACAGCTAGGAGCATTATAATTCAGTCCAAGAAATGAGACGTTGAGAAAAAGCTACCATAGAAAATATTACGATAAAGAAAACACACGGCAAAGCACAACAATCGAAGTAGCAGAGGACAAAATAATTCTTGGAATACGCATGCGCTGTCCTAAATTTCGAAAAAAAATAAACCAATTCCAATTTTTCCGCTCCCTTGATATGAAATTTAGCGAATTCGCCAAATTCTTGACAGTGGACTGACCAGGAGTGGTCTGGGTCTCCGCAATTCGTGAATGAATTGCACTTAAGGGTGGAAGCTGGCATATATATAAATACATTATAATAATATGGTAAAAATTGAGTTACGAACGACAGAAACACAAGAAAAACGTGACGCAAAAAAAGCAAAAAGAAACGCATTGGCATAACAAGGAAACCGACCAAAACAATTGTGTGCAAGAAGGACAAAACACGATACCGCCAACTGAGGTGTAGTCGAAAGCTTCGGTACGTTTTCGGTTCGAGTTGTCTCGTTTCGAGTATATTCTTAATCGCTATTCCGAGAAAAACATAAAAACATGTAGTCGGACGTTCGTAATCCGATCCCTGATGTAGAGGATCAAGATAAACTTGATTCCGATTGCCCAGGAAAGGGAAACCTGTAAACGACTTAAAGAGGTCTATGATTATAAAGGTGTGAAAGGGCTAACATAGGCTCAGAACCTATAGATTCATTGCCTGAATTTAAAGAAAAAATGCCCTAGGGTGGTTGGGTTATTTGAGGTCTTTTATACTAACAAAACGGAATGAAACAGATTGTAAATGAATCAGATAGAAAAAGTAGTCCTACAGCATTTTTTGCATTAAGACATATACCTGGCCTCGATAATGTACCTTGTATGAAAAAAAGTATATAAGAAAAATTCGTATGAAAATCTATCTAGTGATGCATAGGAAAATAAGAATGTCTTTTTAAAACACATTTTTTGTTATTTTGGTTATAATATTATGTAGTTCCCTTACCTAGATAGATAGTGATGAAGCCCATCCTGATATGTATGCAGGTCCTCTTCAAAGTGCGAAATGCTCATCCCACCAAGCCAACAACCACTTCCTCGTAAAATGTGGCACTATAAATCGGCAAAATGGAATGACCTAAAACAGTTTTACCTGGATTTTCCATGGCAAGAGGTTTGCTTTAAAACAGCTGATCCCACTATTTGCTGTAATGAAATAACACAAGTAATCTTATCTGGAATGGATGCATATATCCCACATACAACTAAACGTAGAGCTAATGCAAAACCTTGGTTCAACAGCCAGTGTCAAACGGCTGTACAGAAAAAACACAGAGCATATAACCTTTGGAAACGACAACAAACCGCTCAAAACCACACAGAATTTATAGAAGCCAGAAATAATTGCAAAATTACTATTGACTCCACTAAAGAAACATACAATCAAAGAATAAAAAACAGGTTGCTGAATTGTCCAAGTAGTTCTAAGTCCTTTTGGTCTCTTGCAAAAGCTGTTGGATCGAACTTCACCAAGTCATCCATACCACCACTTACAGATAAAAATAATCACTTAGCCACAACATCAGAGGAAAAAGCCAATATGATGGCCCAAATGTTTTCCTCCAACTCCAACCTAACAGTGCCAAACGGAAAAACTCCACCGTTCATTGAAAGGGTTTCCCATAGTATGCCAGAGGTACCCTTTTGTCACAGAGAAATACGAAAACCCCTTAAAAAGCTAGATACAAACAAAGCAATGGGTCCGGATGGCATTCCCGCAATAGTACTCAAAAATTGCGCCAACGAACTCACCCCAACTTTCGCAAAATTATTCAATTTGTCTTACAGGCAAGGAGTATATCCATCATCATGGAAGTCTGCCGCAGTACAACCCATTCCAAAGAAAGGAAAAAAGACAGATCCGTTAAACTATAGACCAATTGCTCTACTTCCGGCAATATCAAAAGTAATGGAAAGAGTTGTGAACAATCACCTAACCAAGTACTTGGAAAAGTACAAAATTATCAACGATAAGCAATACGGATTTCGAAAATATAGGTCAACTGGCGATTTACTTACATACGTCACTCACTTATGGCAAAAAGCGATTGAGTTGCGGGGTGAAACAAGAACAATTGCCTTAGATATATCTAAAGCATCCGACAAAGTTTGGCATGAAAATCTGCTCAACAAGCTCAAAGCAATGGGATTATCGCCGAAACTTTGCACTTGGTTTGAAAGTTACCTAAAGGACAGATCCATTTATGTTGCACTGGATGGCCAGAACTCCAACTCTTACCAAATAAATGCTGGTGTGCCACAGGGAGCAATCCTTTCGCCAACTCTTTTTCTGATTTACATAAATGACCTCATAGATAAAACAGTAAATCCACTTTATTGCTTTGCAGACGATGGCAATGTAGTCTCCTCACTCATACCACCCACAGGTCTTTCCGCATGTGAATTCCATCATCTTAGACTAACTCAAATATCGCAGATAAATAACGACCTGGAGATAATAGAGGACTGGGGTAACAAAAACCTTGTACAGCTCAACGCACAGAAAACCCAAGCAGCTCTGTTTTCAAAAAAGAACAGCACCGGTGAGCCAAACATCATGCTATCTGGAAGTGCTGTCACATTACAGAGTCAGTTGAACATCTTGGGGGTTACTGCAGAGACCAACATGTCTTGGCACAATCACGTGGCAGATATTGCTAAAAGGGCGTCCCATAAGCTGGGGGTGCTATTTCGTACAAGACATCTGTACACACCAAGCCAATTGCTGACACTCTACAAAGCCCAGATTCGACCAACTATGGAGTACTGCTCACATATATGGAGTGCAGCACCCAAACATACCTTAATGCTTTTGAACACCGTGCAAAAACGAGCTATCAAGCTGATCAATGACCCCGCACTTACTCGTAACTTGGATGGTCTCGAACATCGCAGATCTGTGGGCGATTTATCTCTCTTCTACAGGTACTATAACGGAAAATGCTCTGAAGAGTTGGCACGTATGATTCCACCGAGAGTAGCGCCTACCAGGCGAACCCGTCAAACAGACGGTAACCATGAATTTACTGTCAAACTAGAGGCACCAAGAACCTCATTATATCAGAATTCATATCTCTGGAGAACAGCATCGCTGTGGAATAAACTCCCTGCGACGGTTTTCCCTGCAGGTTACAACCTGAACCGTTTCAAGACCAACATACACCGACATTTCCGCGCACTTGCCGCTTCTCGAGCGTGATAGGACATTTCCTTGCGAGTGCGCATATCCGTAAAAAAAAAAAAAAAACTCGAGTTATTTCAAAATTGCGGAACATAAAAATACTAAGATACAAAAAATGTGTCATATTATGACTAAGCTAGGTATGTTTATGTGAGTGACTCCATCACATTGATTTGATTTTGTTACAATTTTGCATCTCACATCATTGCAACGAATATCGAATATTGTTGCATATTGTGTTTCAGTCCTTTCGCTCGCAGCGCGATATATTTCTTGTTTCAATGCGGCCAGCAGCCGTCTTCCCGGAATTTCATGCGTCGTAGAGTCGGCCAATCACAGAATAGGTAAAGAACCCTTCTTGCTTGTCTCAACTCTTCGCATGCATGTGTGTGTGTGTGAGAGAGCCTAAAATGCTGTTATTTACTTTCACTTTTAGGTTTTTAGAATAAAATTGGTCATCGCCGCATTAGGTATTAATCAATATGTGAAGTTTGTAATAAACATGAAATATACCCATTCATTAAACATAATACAATAAAAACAAGATGTTTCAATTATTGTGAACTGGTAGGTCTCTGTGAAACAGAGTAGTCCTTCGGAGAACAGAAGCAAGTAAAACTGCAAATCCAAAGCAAGCAATCGAGGCGTACAAGATACTATCAGCGACCAGCGACTTAGCTACTAGGTTGTTCATCATAGCATTCATAGTGAAAAAATATGATCATCATAGCATAGGCAATTACTCGAAACCAAGTATGATTATCTTATATTCTATTCTTCGTCGATTGTGGGGTTTCTGATGGCTATATAAACCAATTCTCAATTCCAATATGATATCTACATTGTTACATACATACGTACAAAACGAGTACGTGAGTTATATTTAATTCTCGATTTTATTATCATTACAAACCAAATTCAAAAATAGGCAGTATTTCATGGTTATGACTTTAAGGAATAATAAACTTCATGAGTGAGAATGAAGGGTCTAGAACGCTTTAATTCAACCAAAATTAACAAATACTCCATAAAAATTAGTTGATATATGTATCCTTTATAAAGACGCTTTTTAGTTTTTGTATCAAATATTTTTTATACCTAGTACCTTCCTGAAAAATAAATATCAGAAGAAAATTAATTTTTGCGGGTATCAGCCTTATCAGAGGAGCTAGAGGGGTAGATCAGGGCTCGGATCCAGGCTGATTCGATGTCTGTTCAATTACTCCCCAATATTCTCTCCTCAATTCTATCACTCGGGAATCAGAGGGAATTGATATTGCTAGGAGATCTAAATGCAAGAGCGGGAAGATCTCGGGAAAGTGACATAGTTGGGAGGTATGGAGAGGAAACGCAAAACAATAATGGCCTTAGACTTATAGAGCTCTGCGAACAATACAAACTCAAAATCCTGAATGGGTTTTTCAACCATAAAGACATTCATAGATACACATGGCATCAAGATACGAGAGGTCTTAAAAGTATCATTGATTATGTAATTATAAAACAAGAAACGAATTGGCAAATCAGAGATACAAGAGTCTATAGGGGAATCGAATGCAGCTCCGACCACTACCTGCTTGCAACAAAAACCCGAATCAAATTTAATAGAGACACGCAAGATATTAATACCTCCGACCATACCGACAAAATAGATCAGAGTAGATATAAAATAGAAGGATTACGAGAGCCAAGAATAACAATCCAGAATCGTATAGACCAAAAACTAAATGACCACTATCTGACAGCCGAAACATCCGAATTATATGAACATGTTACCCAATCTATTCATAAAGCAGCAGCGGAAGCTTTAGGGTACGAGGACACAAATGCCCGGAAAAACCATTATCTGACATGGAGTGCCCAATTAGAAGAACAGAAGAATATTAAACAACAAGCATATTATAATAAATGGTTAGCTACAAAGGATGATAACGATTACAATACATACAAACGACACCTACGTGAATTCAAGAATCTAATTCAAACCAATAAGAATGAAACCTGGGAAAGAAAATGCAAAGAAGTCGAATGTTACATGGGCGGGACCAGATCTTCGGAGGCTTGGAACCTAATTCGTTCTCTAAGAAAGGACATATCTACCAAAACCAACATACAGCCAATACAAATGGGTCAGTGGAAAAAACACTATGAAACGGCATTAAAAGAAGACAGGGAAGAATATTTAATCGATCCAGAAGCGCCTTACATTGTCGAAGGAGAGTACATTGAGATCAACAAAAGCATGTTAATAAAAGCGATAAAACACATGAAGAATAATAAGGCACCAGGACCGGAAGGAATACCGGCAGAGCTTCTGAAAAACGGCTCCCAAAAACTTCTTATTTACCTGAAAGAACTGTTTACTAGATAGATAGATAGATAGATTTTCGCCATTTTACAGTTTACAATGTACAATATATAGAAAGTATAAATAAGTAAAAACAATAGATATACTATACTAGTTACTTAAATTATAAAAGTATGATAGGTAGATACATAAATGGAGAGCAAATCCCACCAGCTCTAATTATAGATGTATCTCGGTCACAAGTACAATGAGTAGGCTTTTTGGTCGATTAATTAGAGACATAATAGAACAAGAATATGGCCCTCAGGAAATAGAGGAACAAGCGGGTTTTCGTGCCGGACGATCTTGTATTGATCATATATTTAGCCTTATGCAGCTCAATGAGAAAAAAACTGCTACAAACAGAGATGTCCACGTGCTCTTCGTTGACCTTACAAAGGCTTATGACACAGTTCCTGTCCAAAAACTTTGGCAAGTGATGGAAAACACTCAAATAAATAATACTGCAATAAAAACAATAAAACAGCTGTATCACCAGGCATCATCAAGAATAAAAATAGGATCTACTCTGTCCGATAGCTTCTCCATAACTCAAGGTCTACGTCAAGGCTGTTGTTTATCTCCCACACTTTTCAAAATCTATTTAAATGAAACACTAAGAAAGTGGAGAAGATCATGTAGTGGTATGGGCATACAACTGAATAACGAAAAGACTCTATATACACTCCATATTGCAGACGACCAGGTGGTGATAGCCCAGGATAAAGAAGACCTAGAATTTATGACAACAAGACTTCTTACCGAATATGAAAAATGGGGCCTATCAGTGAACAAATCAAAAACCAAATACTTGTGCATCGGCCAGAGCTCGGAAAACCTAACTTTAGACAATAATGTTGAAATATCCGCATGCGACAAATATACCTATCTAGGAACACAAATAGATAAGACAGTCAGAACAGAAGCCGAGATCGAAGCAAGGATAGTAAAAGGAAAAAGGGTAATTGGATGTCTAAACTCGATTCTATGGTCAAATCATATATCACGTGACAGAAAACAGCTCATATATAACACTATATTCCAAAGCATAATCTTATATGGATGCGAAACGTGGCAATTAACGAAAAACCTAGAAAGACGACTCATGTCACTCGAAATGGACTTTTGGAGAAGATCTGCAGGAAAATCGAGAATGCAAAGAATAACAAACGAAAGAATAAGAGAAATCATGCAAGTAGAAAAAACAATAATAGACGAAATACAAAAAAGACAACTGACATGGTATGGTCACATAGAAAGAATGAATGACGAACGGCTTCCTAAATTAGTAATGAAATGGACACCCCACGAAAGAAGGAAACGAGGAAGACCTAATGCAACATGGTTCGGAGGAATAGAAAGAGCCATGTCGGAGCGCAACTTACATCCAGGAGATTGGGAAGACAGAAGGGGCTGGAGACTGGGAACCGGAAGGCGTAGGACGCTATAAACCGAAAAAAAAAAATAATTCTATCCAAACTTATGCGAAACAATTTCTTGGAAATTAAAAAATAGAAAAAATCCTTAGACTTTTCCAAGGACTTTTCCAAACATTTTCAAATTTCATTCATGGTAAATAACACAAAATGTTAAAACCATTTTTTCCCGGAAACAATTTGAAATGGTGACAAAAATAGGCTTTATTACAGACTTTACGTCGATAACAAGGAACATTTTCAACTTTCCCAGTTTGGAGCTTAGACTGGGTATCAATGTTGGATCCTGAAAAGCTCGCTGGCATAAACCGAACAAAAAATTGACATGCAGACGATCTGAGGCCTCGCCGAACTCGCCTAGCGTCAGAGGTATTTTTTTTATAAAGAACATTTCATCAAGAATTTGAATTTGGATAAAGTTTTTCATTTGCAGCTAACTTTCAAGAAATACCTATAGACAGCCTGTATTTGACAAAGTCTGTATGGATTACGATTATTGAGGGGGTGCAAAGTATAGTAATCAATTTCAAATTACGTCACCAAATTACAGTTTCCTGTAATTAGGAGCCATATTAGTGTTCTGTTTTACCGGCATAGGTTAGGCATTTTTTGTTATGTCAGAATAGCTGAGTCCTTAGTTACGGCAATTAATGTTATGTTTTTTATGTAGTAAAGTCCCGAGATATCCTTTAGTAGAAATTTATAATTTAAAGGAAATTAATCCGAGTTGAAATCATCATTATAGTGTTTTATTGTGATTATCCATCCTATACCCTACAGTTTTCAGAAGTGGGATTCGATTAGAGTAACGCGTGTGGTGTTTTGAGGTTATGGAATATTCTGGCTGAAAAATGGCGGACAGTAATGGTGAAGACGTTGATGGTGAGGAATTCGAAGAATTTGCTCGTAGACGAATGGGAAACCCACCTCAAATACGTCCACAACCGCAAGTAGTTGATGTAAATGCCCTGATTAATTCAATGAATTGCCTGATGCAACAAAATGCAACTATGCTACAAATGTTGCAACAAAATACTAATAACCAGTCCCCCTAAGTCAATGTTAGCAGTAACAATACTGACCGAAGTTACCACATTATTCCAGATTTTTCTAAATCTATTTTGACATTTAATGCTGAGAACTTATCGAAAAGCCAAGAGTGGTTGGACAGCATCGAAAGCACTGCAGCTTTACATAAATGGCCATCAGAATTTAAATTAGAAACTGCTCGAACACATTTATTGGGAGCAGCTAAAGCTTGGTACCAATCCAGACAAAACATTATACATAATTGGGATGACTTTAGACAGCAGTTCCGTAATACATTGGTACACGAAGAAAATTTAACACACTTATGGAAAACCATGACCACCAGGGTACAAAGGGCAAAAGAAGATATAAGTGCTTATTTTCATGAGTTCATAAAGTTCGTCTCTGTAAATCACTGAATTTAAGTTTCGAAGAACAAAAGGAGCAAGTTGCAATTGGGTTAACTTCTCGTGAACTAGCATCCATGATAATGACGAAGAACCATGTCCATATAGATGATGTTTATCGTGACCTAATCTCCTTCGATAGACTAAATAATGAAAGAAGACAACGACATACGGTTGGTGAACGACCCAAACCATTTATTCCTGTGAGTGCAGTGAATGTTAGTAATGCTCCAAGCAGAGTAGCAGTCAAAAATGAGACAGGAAATTCAAAATGTTATAATTGCAATCACGCGGGGCATTATGCTTCTTCATGCAGTAAACCAAAAAGGGAAAAAGGCTCCTGCTTCACGTGTGGAAAGATGGGGCATAGATTTACAGACTGTCCTGAAAAGGCACATAGATCTACGCATATGGTACAACAAGGTAATCCCTATGTAGTCTCTTTTAATTATTCATTAATTAAAGACGATAATTGTGAATGTAAATATAGTTTAGCTGCCCTAATTGATTCTGGTAGTCCTATCAGTTTAATCAAAGAAAAATATGTACCTTTTTATGACAAAAATTTTAGCGATAATAATTATGATTTCACTGGCATTAATGGTACTAAGGTGGATGTTTTGGGCATTTTTCAAACAAATATTATGATAAATGATATTGCAGTTTATGTTAAGTTTTATGTTGTAACTGAGACCACAATGTCATATGCATCCATCTTGGGCAGAGATTTTTTGGCAACACCTGATTTAAAAATAACCTTGAGCGATACTGTTAAAATTGAAAAAATTATCGAGAGCAATAATTCTAATGACAAAATTCCAGACGGTGATGCCAATTTTATTACTGAAATAATGCATGTAGATTATTTAGATGAAAACGAATTGAAAGTAGAAGAATTAAATGTCAATCCAAATTTGCCTCCAGAAACCTTTAACGAAGTAGAAACCCTGTTTGTTGATGAATATTTAACTGCCCCAAGACCCTTAAAACCACAAATAGATTTTGAAATGAAAATTTGTGTCAAAAATGATTAAACAATTTCTTACCGTCCTAGAAAACTAGCCTATGATGAAAAGTTACAACTTCAAAATATTATTGATGATCTTCTTGAGAAACAAATTATTAGAGAGAGTGATTCCCCTTACTGTAGTCCCATAGTTTTGGTTAATAAGAAGAATGGTACTAAACGTTTATGTGTAGATTTTAGAGCAATTAACAATATCATTGTTAAAGATAATTATCCAATTCCTTTGATAGATGACCAATTAGATTTGTTGAAAAATAAAACTTACTTCACTACTTTAGATCTTAAAAATTCTTTTCATCAAGTTACCGTCGCTAAAGATTCTATAAAATTTACTAGTTTTATTTGTCCCCTAGGACAGTATGAATATTTAAAAATGCCTTTTGGTCTAACTAATTCTCCATCAGTTTTTATGAGATTTATTAACAAGATTTTTAAAGATTTAATAAGACAAAATAAGATTTTGATTTATCTCGACGATATTCTGATTGCTACTACCGATTTAGACACTCACTTGCAAATTCTTTCTGAAGTTTTTGCATTGCTTACTCAAAATTTACTCGAATTGAGAATTAGCAAATGCTCATTTTTACAATCTGAAATTCTTTACTTAGGTTACATTATCGACAGTAATGGACTTAGACCAAACCCTCAAAATGTCCAAGCTCTATTGGATTATCCGATTCCTACTAGTACGAGAAAAGTACAACAGTTTATTAGCCAAGCCTCTTTATGACCTCTTAAGAAAAGATAGAATTTTTGAATTTGGTCCAAGTCAATTGCAAGCTTTTAATGTTTTAAAGTCAAAATTAATTGAAGCGCCAGTTTTGGCAATATTTTCTCCCAATTTAGAGACCGAATTGCACTGTGATGCAAGTTCTGTTGGTTATGGTGCAATTTTGCTACAAAGGCAAAAAAATAATCTATTTCAACCTATTTTTTATTTTAGTAAGAGGACCACAGAATCTGAATCAAAAATGCACAGTTATGAATTAGAGATGCTTGCCATCGTTAATGCACTAGAGAGATTTAGAATATATTTACAAGGTTTGTATAATAAATTGTACTAAAAATAATAATCTTTATATAAAATAAGATAAAATTAGTATTTTAATACAAAATACACAAAATCTAAAAATTTTAAATAAATTGTCGACTTATCGGTGTTTTTAATATTGTTTTACAAGTCAGCATTATATTATGTTTTAGGTATTTTTTTTTAGTTTTTAATTCTGCTTTGTCAATGAGATGTTTTAATCTTTTTTTTTATGACAATAAAGCTGTTTTTGAATTTGAAAAAAATTTGAATTTATAGTAATCAATTTCAAATTAAGTCACCAAATTACAGTTTCCTGTAATTAGGAGCCATATTAGTGTTCTGTTTTACCGGCATAGGTTAGGCATTTTTTGTTATGTCAGAATAGTTGAGTCCTTAGTTACGGCAATTAATGTTATGTTTTTTATGGAGTAAAGTCCCGAGATATCCTTTAGTAGAAATTTATAATTTAAAGGAAATTAAACAACGACTCCGAGTTGAAATCATCATTATAGTGTTTTATTGTGATTATCCATCCTATACCCTACAAAAGGAAATTTCGAAAATCTGTTTATTATAGAAAATATGAATTCTACCCACAGAAAGGTTATAATAATGAGTATTTGTTGCGTGTCTTTGGAAGAGTTTCATTGGAGAAAAGAAGATTCAAAATAATCCTTTGCACAGTGTTTAGGTTGCTGAAGGGTGAAATAGATGGTCCTGATATCCTTGGCCAGTTACCTTTTGAGATACAAATTAATTCTCGGAATTCAAACAGTTCCTATTTAGCGTTTCCCAGAACCAATCTGTACAAGAACTCACCTATATTTAGAATGTGTTCAGTTTTTAATTGGTATGCTTCAGATATTGACATAGACATAATAAATCTTAAAAAATTTAAAAAAACTAACTGATAGTAAACTGTGTGACGAGATTTAGGGCGTTTGTGTTGTGTACAAAATTAATTTCAACCAACCATTTTAATTATGTATTGTTTAGTTTTAGTAAAAATGTTTAATATCTTTACTTTCTTTAAAGTGTAATGTTAAGCTTTATGTTACTGTTAGTCTTAAGTGGGTGTCTGTAATTAGCCCCTGGCTGTTGATATCTGAATGATAAGTAAATAAAGTCAAATACAGCCAAGAATACAGCTGAAAACTGCAACGATCTTTCAAATATTAGTAATTTTCCATAAATAAAAAAAATATATATTTTAAAATGATTAACTGGGTACCTACATATGATCGACCCAAAAAATTTAAATAAAAACGACCTTGCATTACAACCTGTACCTATACAAAATCATTTAGATGTAGATGTACAGCTCATAACTGAAAGCATTTATTTATGTTGAAATATTGTTTAGTTTTAATAATTTTATCGTCCAAAACCAAAAAAATAGTTTGGTGAGCACAATAGCACATAATTTAAATTGAATCATCACATTTGACTGGGAACCAAAATCCCATAATATTAGTTCGGGGTTCCTTATAGACATTTCCTCGGACATTTCTAAAAAAAATAATAAATAATCTGCAAATTTTCATATCGAAAATGGTCTAAAAATGGCTGACTTTAACGTTGAGAATGCCGCTTGTAAGAAACTACGTATGTGGTGCACTAATGTGTTTCACCACCAGAATGTTTTCAATATCTACAAGTTTACTCCTTTTACCCTGCTTCTTACCACTTGACACTAACTATTTTTTATGATTAGTTACATACCTAGCTAAATTATTTGGTAGGTATAGGATTTCTTCCTTATTTGTTATTATTATAAGAAGTAGCTACCTATCTAAAGGTTTTATGACTCACCTTCAATAACTTCAATACGTTGTAGCCTCACATTTATGTCTTTTTGAATCTCACTATCAGGTTGTAGAGCAGCGTATAATAGAGATGTAACTGCTTGATACAGGTCCGATTTAGTGGTTCCAAGGGGCGTCTGTTCAGCCATCTCTGAAAAAGGCAGAATGAAAAAGTTTCAATAAAAGTGAACCTCGAAGTAAATACAATGGCGGCTTTTGCGTCACAGCCTCGGTACCTGCATTCAAAATGAATACTCGAGAAAACGTGCCCTTTCTTAGTTAGCTATTGCCTTGATGCATGAAGTTAATGGTTTATAGCATGAAAAATTGACTTCCAGGTAATAAATGCTGTTGGAATAATACTGGCTTATCTTGCTATTGAAATATTTTATCACCAAATTTATCGCTTACCGGTTTTGCCTGAAGCGACTTTAGAAGACTGCACACTAAGCACTGATAAATCGGGAATGCACAAAACTCAACCCAAAGAACAATCAACTTACCCTGGTGTATCGAATCGCGATTTGCTATAAATAACCTCAATGTTCTTCTTAAATGGGTTCTTGGCTAAACATTTTGAATACAGATTTTGTATTTATTCCGTTTTTTTGTTTGTCACAAGATTTTTGTAGATATATAATGTTTTTGGTGAAGATTTTGAGCACTTTTAATTTTTAAAGAAATATAAGTCAAGCCATGGAGGCAAACAAACATGAAATAAACAGATAATTTTAAATGTTGACGTTTTTGACCTCGACAGCCGCCATCGCTTGAGGGTACGTTCGAAAACCACCGGGCGTTATCCAGGGGCGAGTTCAGGAATGACACACCCAGTGTGAGTGTGACACCTGTGCGACGCCCTAGCTGTTCAAAAATGCTAGACGGTGCTATGGGCCCAATGGCCAATTGTCAATTCAGGCACACCCATAAAATCGCACTCGCACCCTGTGCCTTATTTCTGAACTCGACCCAGTAGGTGAGTTCGGGATGACTTCGATAAACTCTAGAGTGCGTTCGAAATCAGTCTGGGCGTCACACCGAGTGCACACCAGCCATTCGAAAATGAATTGGTATAAACTTTGGTTGACTTTCACGCTAGTTCGAAAATATCCGGGATGCTACACAGAGTGCACTCTTTCTTAGGGCGGGTATTATAAAACTGCTTTGACAGTTAACTTGAAGTTAACTTTTTGAATTACATGTAATTCCAGAAGTTAACTTTAAGTTAACTCTCAAAGTAGTTTTATAATACCCGCCCTTAACCAACTCAGCCGCTGGGTAAATTTTACTCCTGCCATTCTTGTCAGTTTTTCAATTATTTAAAGGCAATTTTCAGCCTGGAATGATTATTTATCGGTAAATACATGGGTAAATACCGTGGTTATTCTTTTGGTTGACAACTTTGACAGCCAAGTGTGACGTCATAGCCCCCCATCATTTAAGAATCATAACCCAAGGAACCGACCGCTGAAATGATTTGGTTATAGCAGTGTAGGATTATGTTTATTATTCTTATTTGTTTTTTCGTTTCAACAATAGTTTTTTGTTTAGGTACAAAAAATGGAGCTGAATCTCTCGTTAGTCTCGTTTATCGAACAGATTTTCTTTGGGGATGATCTAAACCTCGATCTAAACATGGTGAATTGCAGTGAGTGAGTGAATGTATACTTCTTTCATTGTGCCAGGCTACATAACGCAACTACAAAATCACAAAACACCAATACAAATTCCAAAAATAATAACAATAACATCAAAAAGCGCTGTAACCAAAAGATTAACCCAAGTCCAAAGCTGGGTTATAATCGGTTATAAGTGGTAAATACCAAAAGCAAATCAGCTGATATGTGACGTGACACTTCCCCTACTTTGGTTAAAACCGTGACGGCGGAAATACATTGGTTATAACCAAATAATAATCATTCCAGGCTGAAAATCGCCTCACATCTACTAGTTTCATATTTAGGGCGGGTATTATAAAACTACTTTGAGAGTTAACTTAAAGTTAACTTCTGGAATTACATGCCCTTGAGGCGGGTATTATAAAACTGCTTTGACAGTTAACTTGAAGTTAACTTTTCGAATTACATGTAATTCAAGGGGGTATTATAAAACTGCTCTGACAGTTAACTTGAAGTTAACTTTTTGAATTACATGCAATTCCAGAAGTTAACTTTAAGTTAACTCTCAAGGTAGTTTTATAATACCCACCCTTAGGGCGGGTATTATAAAACTGCTTTGACAGTTAACTTGAAGTTAACTTTTTGAATTACATGTAATTCCAGAAGTTAACTTTAAGTTAACTCTCAAGGTAGTTTTATAATACCCTTTTTGAATTACATGTTATTCCAGAAGTTAACTTTAAGTTAACTCTCAAAGTAGTTTTATAATACCCGCCCTTAGTCAGATTTATCTGTTCCATTTTCCATTTCTCGGAAGTTGTTGTTGATAATAGGCACAAACCGAATGGAATGCACAGAACACTGGGCCTAAAGCCTAGTACTCATAACTGCGAAATTCGCATTTTTTTGACATTGCGTTGACAATTTGACGTTTAATGCGTGTATCAAACGTCAAGTTGTCGAATCAATGTCAAAAAAATGCGAATTTCGCAGTTATGAGTACTAGGCTTAAGGCCGGAGTTTCATGCATCCGTTTTCCGACGAAATATGTCCGAAAAATCTTCTATTTTGACATATTTTTATACGATTATGTCAGAATAGAATGTTTTTCGGACATCTTTCGTCGGAAAAACGGATGCATGAAACTCCAGCTTAAATGTTATGTAAATATGTTAGGTTATAATTATATACCAGTGCGTTCGAAAACACACCAGAAAAAATTTACTCCTCTGACCACGTGACCATATACCCACTCTTACCCTTGAGTAAAATTTAACCCTTTTTCGAACGCACTCCAAAGTGCAGTAAACACTTCCGATTCGTTCGGGTGTCATAGCTTTGTTTTGGTTCGCAATTTGGAACGGTTCTGGGATTGCCCAGAACTGCTTGCGCAAAAAAAGAGTGGAGAACTGTTCCAACACTAATTCCGAACCGATTCGGAACCAAAAAAACCAAAACACCTGCAAATCATAAAATTCCAAAAATGTTGCTCCTTCAGAGCAAGAACTGAGAGAACCGCTCTAGAACAATCCCAGAATTGTTCTTATGTAGTTTTAAATAAACCAAAACCCTGTCAACACCATTCGATTACGATTCTGAAAAAACAAAGACGCACTTTATAACATGCGCATGTGCAGAATGATTCGGAACTAGTTCTGAGTGAAAACAAAACAAAGCTTTGAGAAAGAGTACTCCAGATGCGTTCGGGAAGAAAGTGTCTGTCAAAAGAGCTGACTCTAGTTGTATCGGGGGCGACTAACACCGGAGCGAGTAGCTCGAGTGTTTCAAACTCTTGAAAGGAATACAACTATTGAGGGCGAGTTCCCACGGACGTGATAAGCGCAATCGGAATGAACGTCAATTCTACGCCAATTTTGGCGTAGCATCCCGCATAGTGCATAGAACATTTTCTAACCCAAATATTTTGTTTCTTTTTTGCCAGGTTGTAATTAAACTTTACTAATTTGTTGTTGTAGTCCTTTTCCTTTGGCTTTCTGTGATTTTTCTATCATATATCAGAAAAAACAAGAAAAAGCAAACGTCCAGCGTAATGTCAAAAATTCAGGATGGCTGCGTTAAAGCGGGCATGCGCAGTGTGTTCGATTTCGTGATTTGGTGTCATCTATCCTATTTTTGCCCTCTCCAGACAAGCATCCGAATTAAACGTCCTTTCAAAATTAAAGAGGCACCAAATACCATAGAAAACTTAGAAGAGACGTAGAAAAACATTTATTTCCTCCAAATGCACCCAGGCCGTTCGGTTTCACCAATCAACTCCAAAAGCTTTTTGGTCACGTGATAAAAACGCCAATCCAACTCTACTCCAGCTCCGCTTGGTCAATCCAAACCCAGCTAGTGTGCACACCAGCCGTTCGGAAATGTAAATAGTTTTGTTACAACCAACACAGAAGAAAACCGCAAAATATAGCGTGATGATTCTGCGCAGAACCTAAAATTTGTGCGTAGAAACCGAAATTCATGTACACATCAGTGGTCTGGAAGCCGTTTTATGGGACGGTTTTTGACGTGTTGGAACAGACCTATATATACATGGTGTTCATTTTAAAACTTACCACCCCCTTCCCATTTAAGATTTTCTAGGTGGTGGCTCTGCAGGCTGGGGGATTGAAAGGGGGGAGGTGAATTTTGGATAAAGACTCATCCCCCTTCAAATTATTGTTGACGTGTTTCAGGGATTTTCTCGAAAAATTTTCAACTTCGAAATAACAGGGTTGCGTTTAGAAATAGCACTCTGGGTGTGAGAGTGACTCTAAACCGTTCATAAATTAACAGGTGCTCACTCGGAGCGTTACGCTGGAATCGTTCAGAAATCGAGAGTTGACGTGCCCAGAGTGCGCCCAAATTACCCCACTCAGGGACTGGGTTGAAAAACGCTTCGCGGTTTTTACCGAGTTTGACTTGATTTTAGGGTTATTTTCATTATGATGATGAAGTCCTCTAAGATAGAGTCAAAAAATATGGGTAAAATATCAACAATGTTGACTTTGCCGTTGTTTTAGAGAATAACGAGTCCCTTGTTGACGGCGGTTCTGTAATTATTCAACATACAAATGGTTAGTGATTTCACTATCTGCAGCACTTTCTTCAGATGAAGGATGTTGTAGCAGGACCTCTTTTGATAAGAACATAATACATGAACTTCTCACTGCCATTTTTAGGGCGGGTATTATAAAACTACTTTGAGAGTTAACTTAAAGTTAACTTCTGGAATTACATGTAATTCAAAAAGTTAACTTCAAGTTAACTGTTAAAGCAGTTTTATAATACCCGCCCTTAAATTGTATTGTTGAACTTGCATCGTTATTCATGACATTTACCGCGACGCCACAATACGTTCAGAAATAGCACACTCAGAGTGCACTCCAAGTGATGACGTCAGAACACTCAGACAACTACTCTACCTTCACACTCCATTTCTAAACGCACTCCACAGGGGTGATATCGGAGGGTCCGCTTTCTATACCCGAAGTAATTTGATGATCAAAAATATTATTTAGATTGGTATCTGGTTCACAGATCAAATAAACCAACCAGCTTGCTCAAGAATTTTTATTCCTTAATGCCCATAATGATTAATTGTTATGTTCTATAGGCGGATACGTCCTTAAGCATCTATATAAGTTATCTAGCCAAATCAAAATGTGGTTAAGGAAAATTTCTAGTTTAGCATCGCTCCCTCAACCATCCTGCGATAAACTCTGTATAAACTCCCAAAAATACAACCGTGCACCTTGCCGGGAATCAAACCCGGTCCATCAACTTAAGAAGCGAATACTCTAGGTGTGTTTCTGCAGAAATCATAAACCAGTCAGAGCGAATTTCATTGGTTGAAAACAGTCAGAAACAGTCAGAAAACTAGTTTCAACCAATAAAATTCACTCTGACTGGTTTGTGATTTCTGCAGAAACAGACCTACTATCTCCTACTCTGGCCGGTCGGCTGCATAATAATTTGTTAAAGTTTGCATTTTTTCTTCACATTTTTCATTCTATTAGAAATTTATTGATGAGAAACCACTAAAGTCGAATCTGTTGAATTCTAATCGGAACTTACCTGAACTTGCGTTCTTTTCC